TCATAGAGGGATTTGAAGCTAGGCATGTAAAATAAGTAGGCAACAAACTCTAGAGAGAAAACTACATTAAAATTTTCAATATGTGAAAAATATGCTATATGATTGCAATTACTTTTTGTGTGTTATGTACTCTTTAGCATGACTGCAAGTTTGGCAGAGGAGAGGCAGATGAGGCAGGTGTGATGGCTCGTGTTAAGAATGGAGCAGATGAGGCAGAACACAGAGGGGTCTGGCAGCTTACTCTTAAGTGATAAGAAGGCATCATTAGCTGATTATCAAGAAAATTTAAAAAGGACAGACTTTTGCTTTCATAAAAATGCAAAAGAACAACAGCTATGAGACAACAAATTCCATATAACAAAAATAGATGGTTTCCTTATTTTGTTGTAACTCAGATAGGATAACAGTCATGAATATTTACAGAACTGCCACAGTTTACAGGCAGAACATATCCAGACAGGGAGCTTACACTTTTAAAGGGAGCAATTAATTAAGGCTTTTTTTTCCCCATAGTGCTCTAATTTCCTAGAAGATTACTTTAAAGCACACACGATTTTACCTGGAAGGCTACGGAAAAAATGTACATTTTCAAAACTTGTACTTCTTCACAGCAGCAGAATTTAAGAATTTGCTTTAAATATATACAAAAATAGTCTCATTTAGTATCATCTACAGATCACATGGTCATGTGTTCTGAAACTCATGTTGCATTATCAATTATTTACTATGTTCTCCATAACCTATGAAGATTCTGCAATCCTCCTCCATTTTTAAATCATATGGTTGAAATGCACACACATAAAATTGCACGGCTTAAACAGCATTCTCTTGCAACTATATAGATGCAGTTGAATGTTGTCTTCTAGTATTAGTTCAAACCTCCCTAACACTGTAAGTAACTGTGGCAATTTCCAAATTTTATTCTGTCTCTCTTTTGAATATACTTCCTTTTTTAATAAGCAGTTAAGAAGAAAGAAGAAAAGGTCTGTATGTCACAGATACATTTGAGTCTAACTATCAACAACGTGCACTACAGAAAATGAGTAAAAGTTACTAATTCTTATTCATATCTTACACATCTGAAATTCTTACAAGCCTCTTGTATTGTCACAACTATGTTCATTGGTTTGCTTAGGCTTAGACTTGAGCTTTTCAAACACAAAAATAATTGTGATTTTGTTGTGAATGGAATTTTGCTCGAAGCTTTCATATTTCTTATTTATCTCAGTCAAACAAGAGAACAGTAAGGAAATGAATTCCTCAAATTTGCAACAGCAGTGAGTCCCTAAACCCCCAAGGGAACCTGACGGGTCTCACAAGAACTGAGGTCAAATGCATATGAAATAAAAATTTCATATGTGGCATTATATTTCCCCTTTCTGATTTGCAACAGGCTTAACAAGTGTCCGTATTTAATTAATTCTTAATGACATGAACTGGTGTTAATCTGCCAGAAAAAAATTCTCTTAGTTACAAAATTACACCTGTGAGAAAAGAGAAGATGATTATATGTAGGTCACATGCTCAGCTGCATTCATTTCCAGTCAGTTTTCTGAATTGAGATCCATTTCTATTTGTCACAAAACCAGATTATAATTCAGGAAAGTGAATTAATTTATAGGAAATGCCAAGTGATTTGAACTACACTAGATAATAATAATCATCATCATCATCATCATCATTATCATCATCATCATGTTAACAATTATTGCAATAATAATTACTATTAATGTCCATACTTTTTTTATTAATAAAATCCCACTGAAATCAATGCAAGTCTGCACAGAACAGCATGTCCTACATGGGTGGACTCCAAGACATACAGCATTAAAACAGGTATCTTCAACAGATGGAACCTAAGAACCTACCTTTTCAAAAATTATTTGCAATTTGAGGCATCTCTATTGAGATCTCTTATAGAATGATTTTCAAGAAAAAGGAGGGAGATTTTTATCACTTTGCAAAAATTAGTATTTTCTTAGTAACCTCAGAATGACCAGATGGTCAATATTTTGATAGTTACGCTATAAACCGAAGGCTACATGATTCCACTTTGACATACAATAAATTAATCCAAGTCCTCTTTTTGCCACCAAGCTATGGCACTGCACTATATCTTTATTATGAGAACGAGTCTGCAGTTTCTTGACATTTTGAAAGATTATGTTTTCATGACTTTTTTCTTCACATTTTCTTCGGATAAATCTTTTCAAATTAAAATTTTTGATATTACAAGCTCACATGGAATAAGGAATGATATTTTAGAGAAGATACTAACATATCATACAAAAATGTAAAGATTGTTTGTTTCTGAGTTAGCTCTGGTAATAAACTTACACATGCATGCAGTACCTCAATCTCATTTAATATCTAGTTTAAGAGTAATTATTTTCCTGGCAGTACGCTATATTCTGGACAGTAGCCCACCTATGGGTGAGTAATGGTAAATGGTTGGGAGTAATTTTTTGTAAAATTAGGTCAATGCCAAAGAAAGTGGTTTGCTTTGTTAATAACTTTGAGAAAGGAAGATTACAGAGAAAGCCTACTTCTTGCTGGCCTTAAGAGACTCCTAATGCTTTCCACAGGCATTAGTTTTAGGAGGTGTAGTTTCAAGCTTGTTCAGGACAAGTCCATGAAAATGGAAGCACTGCACAGCGCCATAATACATGACAAGCACAAAATGCATTTGCATATCTGTAATAACATAAACTCTATTTGTTATACTTTCTAGGAAGTCACAGAATTACTGTGAAAATCTGCAGAACTTCTTTGGAGTGTACTTGAGGTAGAATTTATCCTTTAATATCCTCAAATTGTTTCAGTCCTACTTTAGATTTATTTTGGATTCTTGTATATTATCTGCTTGATTTTTCTGTATTCTTCTGATGACCATTGTTTACAACAGTTGTGGTCCCTTTTGCAAGAAGCTGTATTCAGTTCTCTCTTTATATGCCCTTTCTTTATATTCACAGAAAGGTATCAGAAAAAACTCCTCAGGCCACAAGTCAAATGCTAATTTCTAGGACTGGGAAGATACCAACCTAATAAGAACACCATTGGAAAGCTGTCTTAAAAATTTATTTTCCTGCGAGTGTTCTAGCATTAGCCAATTCTGGCAACATACGGCCACCTTAAGTAGATCTAGTGCAAAGCTTTGACCCTGTTGCACGGGGAGGCTGTGAGTGGGTTTCTTACAGACTTGCATCTTTGGCTCATGACTCAGAAAGAGTAATGAGATGGCAGAGTTGGGACTTTCCCTTCCGTGACCGTTCTGCAACAAAAGAGCTTAAATTCACTAACCAGAATACATTTTACAGGTCTTTCATTTACATCTCAAAAGCTCTCAAACAAGTACATTTACTGTTTAACAAAGGCACCTCCCTGCATGATGAAGAAACAGATCCCAAGTTTAATTCTGTATTTCTGGCACGCAAAAACTGGACAAATTATGTTAAGACTTCTGTTTACTGACTGAGGTATGTAATTCATTGCCCAATCCAGTGATCAGCTGTGACTAGAAAGTTAGTGTCTCCTAATTTAGATTAAAGGATATTAATACAAACTTTCTCAGCCTGATCTTAAGTTCAGACCTGTTAAGCATATATTTATTTATTAAAATCCCCCTGGTAATGTAATACACATTATGACTGAACAACTCAATGCCTCTTAAAACTGTAGTAAATTACTCTCTGATCTTTAACATATTAGGAGACTATACTGAAGTGCTCCGCTGAGAAAAGTAAGTAACACTTTCAAGAAAAGGAAAGATCATGGTAATAAGTGGTAAATCAAGCATTTCTCCTTCAGCAACTAATTTTCTCATATGAAGTGGCTAATGACTCGGGTGTGTGACACCTACACTCCTCCTCTGTAGCCTTCAATAACTATTTGCTGGACATCTTCAAATCTCAGTATTTTAAAGAAAGATGAACATTGTTCTCTTTTTTGTAGGATGAGGAAACTGCCACCGTTTTCAAACTCTATCTTGAAGGCACTCAGCTCTGCTTGAAATTGTTTCATTTAGCAATGTATTTGAAATTAAACTGCATCTGCTACAGAAAGGATGGAAGGGTCCACAAGAACCATCCATCCTTATGATTCTTGTAGTCTTCAGCTCCCAAGGGCTGAGATTGAATCCATATTACAAGTGAACACCTATCTAAATTTCCAAAAAGCTGTAAATAGAGACTTTCAAGTCTGAGCTTTTGAAAAGGTAAACTATAATGTACATGCTTAGTTACCTAAATAAGTGACTCAGTCTTCAGATCAACTGAGCATTTACAGTCTGGATTAGAATGAACAGCAGACTGCTCACAGATAATCCATTTTCTTTAAAAATTAAGCCACTATTTGATGTACAGAGGCATCTAATTTAGGTTATAACTTTTATGAGCTTTTTTGTAATATTTCACTGCCTATTATCTTCAGATTTCCCTGTCTAAGCACACATCAGTTATTACAATGAGTAATTTATGAATAAAACCCCAAGAAACAGGCAAAGAAACAAGGTGTTTTCTAATACAGTTCATTTTAGAATCATATTAGTTTCCATAATAAATAATTTTCCACACGGTGTATATCAAAAATAAGAGATCTAAACCAGGCACATATTTGGATCTGAATCCGAGAGTAACTATTTCATAACCATCAATAAAGTGTCCTACGCTTCACTGAGACTTTGTCACTGTAAATAATTACACTTCCTGGAGCAAACAGAAGATGTAAATGGCAAGACAGGTTTTGATGAGTTTTGAGGCTTTTTTTTTTTTTTCCCCCTTTGGATCAACTCCAAATCTGACTTTAATAAACTTTTAATAAACTTTGAAAAAGGTAGCAGCACATTTCTTTCAATATCAGCATTTCTTGCACAGGAGTTACACGACATTATATTTTAACACATATTTTAACAGTGGGATGATTAAACAAGACAGACTGCAATGATGTGTTCATTCATACAATACATAATTCTCAAAAGAAATAAGAAAGATTTCTACACTGACCATAGTCTGTGTTTTCCGGCTCCCAACAATTTGATGGCCAAAAATAGGGTGTCTATAGACAAAACAAAAAAAAAAGTACGGAACTAAAGTTAGACAACGCAAGCATTATACAGTCCTTGGATTTATACTGGTTTTCAAAGTCAATTTACATTTTTGGTAGATCTATTATATTGTTAACTTGACAATTTTGAAATAGGCATCAAAACAGAAAATTACTTTTGTACGCTTGTTTATTGCACTAGTGTCAGGACGGCATTGAAAAAGAAGAACAAAGTGTTCTTTTTCTTCTTAAAGGCAAGGGAACAAAAACCACAAGGTTAGGTAGTGAGGCTGTCTTTTTCATCTTCCCTAACAACATGTCCTGAAGAATCAGTTTTAAAATGTTAAAAGATAGAAGATATTTTGGGGTACATTCAGTTCTTGATTTTGGAGAGTTTTCATTATTATATATCAATATTCAGTACTCTTTCCTGGGAGTTATTTGTTTAAAAATGCCAATAAACACAACCTGTTTTCACAAAGTTATCAAAGTTGTTCTCATTTGTTGAAGTCTATTTTTTTCCTAATTTTTTACCAATTGTCATTTAAAAGTGGGATTTTTTTTTTTAATGGAAAGCCAATAAAAATGTCAATAACTAGGTCAACACCATGCTATTAAAACCGTGTGAAATGTATTATTAAAATAATTCACTTCTACCAAATGAAGAATGTAAAACCATATAGGCATTTTTCATACAAATAACTTAATATTTAAAATGGTAACTTTTTGTTAGAATGTAAAGGATTATAGTATTTTCTACATAATGCATTCATATATATATATACATACACACATACAAAGAGAATTAGATATCATTTGAACAGTTGGATTAATCTAATTAAATATGACACTGGTCTGAGTGTTAATTCGAAACATAGGTCCTTCCTTAGGATAACCTTCTGCTTTCCTCTCTGTTTCCTATTCGTTTTTCTCAGTGACCTCCCAGCTGCAAAAATTGAAACCTCTCTTGCTGCCCACTTCCCTCAAAATTGTTTTATTGTTAATCTGGAAATCAACAGAGCTGAAGGGCAACACATTCACATCTACTGTCAGGTTAAATATATGTGGTGAAAAATCTCCCTCTATTTTAACAACGACCCATCAACTTTAATAGGAGTGATTTAGAACTTGCTATTTACCAGGCAACAGCAATGAGTTAAAAGGTGAAAAAGAAACTATCACAAGCTAAATTAAAGGCTGACACGTATTTCTTATTAGTTGTTTCGTGCTCTGTAAGGGAGCAGCAGTAAGTCTTTCTCCTACCCACTATTCCTTCGCATTGCTGCTGAAATCAAAGTGACCAGTATAAGCACAAATGGAAGGAAGAAGAAGAACCTCTACAATGAATGGCAGCATTCAGTGAATCCTGGAGAAGCAAGAAGTTATAAAAGTAATTTAACAATGTCAATAATATAAAGCATAAAGTCATCATCATGTAAGTATACAGTTTTCAAACCTGAGCAGGCAGAATAGTCCTTCCTTAGAGGCATTAAGCGTATATCGAGATAGGCCCAAGAATTAAAACACAACTATATAATTTTTCTGCTAACAGTAACTTTAACCTCTGTTTACGGGTTCAAGCTGAGCTTCTGGAAAAAGGATGCAATAAGGGTTACTAAATACATAGAAACCATATCTGTTCAGGTAGTTCCTGAGCTGAAGCTGGCTTGGGCTCAGATCTTATTTAGGAGGGAGTAGCAGCTATGGTGAAGGATGGTTGGAGAAAGGTACAGGGCAAGAGCCCTTTCAAAAGTAAAGTGACAGGGATTCTTCCAATTGTAGGTATACTTGCTGCAAATTCCATATTAAAACTCCTCGTACATACTTAGGATTTCTCTTGACAAATTACATCAATTCCCATCCCAGCTGAGATTTAAAATATAAATTCTGTCTTCTGATTTTGAGCCAATCCCATGATGTTTTGAACAAATCTCAAAATTGCTTTTGGTGTTCATTTCACATCAGGTTGAGGAAATATAATATATTCACAACTATATATTTATGATGTAAGAGTAGGACACTGTTGTTTCATACATAAATGAAAAGCTACCCCCCATCAGCAAGAATACCGCAATAAATAGTTCTGACAGGCTCTCAGAGAGATTATAGGAATCAAGGATATTACTGTTTTATTATTATTACTGTAATTTAATTTCATTTTTAAA